GCCCAGCCCTGGGCACAGCAGCACTGCCAGCCCAGCCCTGGGCACAGGGAGGGAAGGGAAACGTGCTGGTTGTACACCAGCAGCTGTGCATTTACAGCGGGATCTGGGGCTGGTGCCAACAGAAGAGTGCAAAAATTCAGGACCAAAGGAACCCTGAGACAACTCAAGCGCAGATGCCGGAGACTGAGCAAATTCTGTCTCCCAGACAGCACCACATCAGTATAAGAAAAAAAGGTTCTTCAAGCACGAAAATAACTTTTCTTAGGTCATGCAAATAGAATTGAAGTATTAGTCCCATGGTTTATTCCATTAATGGATTACATGATTTTATTTCAAGCTTTGCTGGCTGGTACAGTCTCAAACCCGTATCAGTTTAACAAAGGTGAGGACAGCTGGCATCACATTTCAACCATTAAAGTTCAACATAAATGCAAACCATTCAGCATGTATTTCTGCACTCTTCCAAAGCACTGCTGTTCTGAAGGAGTTGGAAAGAAAACCCTACAATTCTATGGAAATCCACTACAAAAGATTTGCAATTCAGAAGATCACATACTACTGGAAAGAGTCACTCCACGACCTAATAGGAACACATCTGAGCAATGGATTGCAAATGAAATTATTTCACAATTGAATAGTTTTATTTCAAAACTCCATTTCAAACTGTCTGTAGCTCTGTAACAGTCCACACTCAGACACTGCTAATTTAAGTAGAGGCCCATTTTGGACAGAGCAACTGCTTTCACTGTTTATTTGTCTCTGGAAAAAACCTGAGGCAAACTCACAAGCTCCTTTATAGTGCAAACATGATGCTCTAGAAAAGTGCAAACATAATATTCTCACTTCTAAAAGTGTTTCCTATGAACATAAGTACAGTGATAAAGACACAAAGTAAGAATTTGAAACAGGATGAATATTTTCTCAACAAAGGACAGTATTTTACTCCTGACAAAATAAATAGCCCTTTATCTCACCAATATCAATCCCATTTCCATCCAGTCCAAGTGCAATGCAGAGAAATACCCTACAGACAGAATAACCAGGTCAGCTGAGCCACACTCAGCTGTGGCTGCTGGAGCTCAGCTCATGGCTGGAGAGAACTGAAACTTCCAGCAAATTAACCCAAAAAGCCTTTCTACTGGAATATCTACACCTTTAATGAGTTCATTAAATGAGGTGGCTCAGGGAAAATTTCTTTAACTCTTTTAATCAGCGTAGAAAAGTCTTTGTTTTCTCTAATTGGCTGAGCGAGGACAGCAGACAGTGTTGCACATTTACTCTTCTTTCTTTCTAAAAGACAACTTTAATAACCTGGTGAACACGAAAACTTGTCTAGTTTTTACATTTAACCTTTCACCTACTGCAGTTCAGATGTGAAAAATCGTATTTGAACTGTAATATTTTGGTATTTATTTCACCTCACTCCATCTGCGTGAAAGTCCTCAACGGAGCAATTATGAGTATTAATTCTCTAATTAAAAATATTCATAACTATTACCACTGCACCACTCATTTTTAGCCAGTCTGTCAGTTAAATCCTGGTCAATCAAGTACTCTTCTCTAGTATGCATTACTTGCTTTTATCACCAATTAGTTTTATCCCCTCTTCTATTTTCCAAAGAGAAGAGCAAAGGTCCTTCAAGTTCTTCAGTCAGCTTTTCCTCACGCTCCTGAGAGCATCAGCTGGTACCTCTGGCACCCAATTATTCCCATTCCTTTCCTTAACATTTACCAAGATATGAACTAATGTCCTGATGCCACCTCCCCATAATGAAAAGTGACTCTACAGCCATTTAATCCTTTTATCCCTGTGCAGCTCAGGCCACTAAAATACAGGTAAACCTTATCAATTATGTGTCCTTCCTCTGGAGCTTTATCTGCCTTTCACAGGATTATTTTTACAGAGATTAATAACCTTTCTATTGAAATGGCTGTATCTCCCTGTTTAGTACATCCCTTCTTTTCCCTGCAAGTTAAAATCCCAAAAGAACCACAAAAGTAAATGCCCATGTTCAAATATGCACCTAAAATCCTGCTAAAATTCTCCTTCTCCCAATATATCAACCACTGGAAACCAGTATTAATCCTCAGAAACACTGAAACACTGCTACAACATTGATTTATGTAATTTCTCTTGACAAAATATTAAAGATTTTACATTCTTTTAAGAAAACAGAACAGATACACGACTGTAACGCTAGATTATGAAAATCTTTTAATATATTTTTTTTCCACATGACTGCAAAATATTTAGCTAAAAATTTGATAACATTTTAGTACTCACTATCTTCTCCTGGACAAGGCATGCCGGGCTTCTCTGGAATACTTGGGAAAACTAAAACAAAAACATTAGATTTTTAAGGTAAAATATTCTCAGTAGTCCTTTTTCCATGATTTTTGAGTATATTTACACAGAGACAGTTTCTGGAAGCCTTTAAATAATTCTGCCTGAGAAATGATGTAATCAGAATTTGGTTCCAGACTGGCAGGATCTTACACTGGAGTAAAGCATTCACAAATCTGTGCAGCTAAAACTCAAACCCCCTCAAAGCCTGCTGTGGCTCAGCTTTGGGCTCCACTTTCTTCTTACAACAAACTGCAGGGCACCAGCTACACCAAGAATGTTACTGGCCAGGCAGAGGAGCTGCTCCAGCTCCAGCTCCCACCTGAGCAGCTGCTGGGATTGTCCCAGAGAGGATCCTGAGCTGTGCAATACTTGCCATGGATGATGAGCCCCTCGTCCCTGTTCTGGCAGTACAAACGAAAGGCTTCCTCCAGCTCCATCTGAGAGGAGATGGTACAGGGGTCACCTAAAGGGACAAGAAAGGCCCAGGCAGCTTTAACAGGCAGGAATTCAGTGCAGAATTTCAATTAGTCAGTAAAAAAAATGCACCAGCCTCGAGGACTGCCTTTCTTTGAATCACTTGAAGCTGGCACTTCAATCAAAGCCAAACTAGAGTAACAGAATTATTCCTCCCAACTTTATCAACACTGAGTAGACAGAACTACACTAACTACACTACACTACATTGGTTTGCAACAGGACAACACAACGTAAAAGGGAACAGCTACACTTAAAGACCCCCTTGTTTTCCTGTCTGCTTGTGGTCACGTTATCAGCATTACCTTGTGAGGGTTATTTTTGCTAAAACTCAGTAATTAATCCACAAATCCCCTTAAGCAGACACACGTAAAGTACAGTATGGCACAGTGGATGGGGAGCCAGCAGACAGCAAGGGTGTCACCCTGACCCCCTGGGAACAGCCCCCTCCTGAGCACACCCTGGGGGACACCTGGCCTTGGGACAGACAGGCCAAGTGATGACACCAGTGCCCATCCACATTTTATGTTTCATCTCTTATTTTTAAAAAACTATTTTATAAATCATTTATAAAATGACACATCCAGGGCCCTTTCACTCCTCTTTGAGGCCACTGCTGCTGCTGATCTATAAACACTGCAATAATGCAACATGAAAGACGTTGGAATTATTTGTAGTGCAAACCAACAATCCCCATTCGTTATGTTTATGGGATTTTACTATGAGTGAGCTATTCACAGCTTAAACATTTTGAATCTTGTCAAAAACAAAGAAACACTACAAAAGCCCAACAGAAAGTCTGTTTTCTTCAGCTCTTGGTAGGTTTTCTTTATTCATTAAGCCATTGGCAATTGTTTGCTTTTAGTTGGTTCCCAGAGAACATCTGTTTGTGCAGTGAGACAAACGAACCTCAATTCCACGTGGCAAGAAGGGGAAACACTCGTATGCAGACACAGGATAACTCCCAAAACCCGGGAGCACTGGGGACAGCCAAAACAGCAGACTGGCTGCAACTCAACAGCTCAGAGCCAGGAATTAGAAGAAGGGTTGTACAGGTATGGATTTAACCAAGGCTGGAGGAAAATAGTTATTAGAACTGCAATTGAGATTTGTTGTTTTAATTTAAGTAAGCCTCAAGAAGCCAATGCAACAGATAGCAGCACTCATGGCTTAAAATCCTCCAACACAAAACTCCTGAGGTTTTCTTCTTCCCTGCAATAATCTCCCTTTATTAAGAGGGATGCAGTTCAAACAGCTGAGCACAGGCAAGGTAATTATCCTCCATGCCCTTCTGATCAGGTTACTTTTTATTACACGAAAATGAGGGTTAGAAAACAGGTTAGCAGAGTTGCCTTTGTCTTTCTTGGTAATCAGAAGAGTAAATTTAAAAATAATTGATATTACTCCTTGATATCTTAAAAAGGACTGACTCTTTTTGACTATAGGCTACCTCCTTCCCCAGACATTACTTTAAAATTCAATTCACTCAAACACTGCACAGCTAAGAGAGCAGTACAGGCTGTCAGAGAAACCAAACCACAAAGTTACAAATGTCAGCCAAACCAATTTAGTATTTTTTCACCTTTCTGTATTCAGTTCTAGGAGTTGTGCAGACCATGGCATTGCCAAGGTGCAGATGGGTTGTATACAAAGCCTTCACTTCTCCAGAAGTGAATTCAAGTGCTACTGTGAGCAAACCTGATGTCTTGAGGCTCATTTCTCCCTGCTTTGTAAGACAGGGCTCTGTACTTAGATATTTAGAAATGACCACCAGCTCCACACTATGGTATCTGTTTGTACAAGCTTCCCCAATGCCCCTTCTCTGTCCCACAATGAAGAACAAACCCAAGGATGCCCAAGCAGCACTTCAGCCCCATACCTTCATCATCAATCCACTTGAGGGTAATTGGCTGTTCCTGCTGCAGGTTGCACATCTCGTGCACCTCGTCACAGAGTTCATCGTAGCTCATTGAGGCGTCCAGGTTTGTTATCAGGATGTCCCTGCAGGAGATGAACACATCAGGTTTCATCAGAAAATCACCTGCACTGGCCTGCACATCCCAACAGTTCCATCTGTGGACACTAAGCTGCAGAATCACACTCAGAGAATGAGCATTCCTCACATAAAATGTTCCCACTATGTCACCAGGATTACATCTCTCAGTGCTCAACTTCAAAAAAAAAATACTTTAGTATGGGGGAAATAATTGTGTTAATCACCTGTTTCTAATGCACGTTTACCTGGGTGAGCAAAGTTCCCTTATTATAATTATCAGCCTTTGAAGTGTTGTTAGAAAAAAACAGAAGCTTTCATAAAAATTAATTTTTTTAATCCAGGTAATTCTTCCATCAGGAGATAAGTAATAATCTCCATTATTGTAAAATCCTTTTAAACAGTGGGCTTTTCCTCACATCCACTATATTGCTGGAGAGGAAGCTTTGATTAGGTGAATTCTCACAAGATGTAATTACAAGACAATTCAGATAAAATCTTACTCAAATTGTGCATCTTGGTGCTCTGCTTTTACAGTGCTCAGAGAAGGGGGGCCCAGTGCTGAACTGGGCTGATGGACACCCTCAGTATCTCTGGCATTTGGGACAGTAACTCTTGATACAATGAAAGCCCACACAGGGCTGTCAAAGCAGGTCAGAGGTCAAAAAAGGAAAAGAGATTATGCAGAACAAAATCTCACAGTACAAACCAGACTTTCTCCTATTTTTAAAATACTTTTCAAACGACTATGGGAAACCAATGAATAAACAAGTGCAAGAAGAAACAGTAGATGAACTTAAGTCATTTTGCTGCCCTCAAAACCTTCCAGGGGATAATTAGGAGAGTGTTCTGGAGTTAATGGCTACTGGTATGTGTAATTCTTTCACCTCTTAGTCTAATGCAGCAAATCAGCAGAAGTTGCCCAATATGACTGAGATAACTTTCCTATTTCCATACTGTGTGACAAGTCATTTTAGCAAAAATGTTATATGACATATTCTGCCTACTTATGTGTTTCAGTCAACAGTTGAATAGTACTACACTGAACTAAGAAACTTAAATTCCACAACTTACATTTTAAATTATATGCATTAATAACTTTCCATTTTGCCTTTGCTGAGAAAAATTACAAGCAAAGCTCTAAGACAATCACTTTAAAGAACTGCACTGTTCCAAACTCAGATTAAAAGCACTGCTACCTTTTCAAGTGTAACTTTAATCCACACTTTGTAAAGCTCTCAAAGGACAGCAACTTAATAATTCTTCATAACAGCAGCAGGAGCCATACATACACCACCTGCACACCTGTAACCCCATATTACCTACAGTACTGAGAGCTGTCAGGTGAGGCTCAGTTTAAGAGCATTTCCCTGTCAAAGAAGTCATGTTTTATGCATTTAGGAAAGTAAGAGACCAAACTGGTTCTCACAGCAGTGTTTGAGGGCTGGTGCAATGCCTTGCCCTGAGACAAGGTCACTAACAAATGCAGCTCATTATTTAATGCAGTGCCACCACAAGCTACTCATGCAATCAGGCAGCTGTAGGTCTGTGGAAACTGGACAATCACACTTTAAACCTGCAAGTACAGAGTGAGACAACACTGCTACACACACTACAAACTCCATCCAAGGCTGGTAAATGCTAATCAGCCTTGAATTGTTAACGTTATTGTAACAGGTGCCATTCTACAGGTAAATTAATGACCATATTCATGATGTCCATGTTCCTTCTCTACAGGCACATCAGGCAGGGCTCAGATAAGTGGAAATCACTCATTGTTTACCACTAAAGAACCCCACAGGACCTTTTTGAAAAGATATTTGGAAGTGGACACTACATAGTTAAATGAAGAGCTAAGGACCAGTGAGCTCTGTAAGAGCAGTCCCAGCAAGAGAATCATCATTCCCACAGACAGACAGTGTGTGTCACCACTCAGAGCCAAGGTCACACGCAGCAAACAAAGCTGCACCTATTGAAGTGATTTCAAATAACCAGGTGTAAACCAGATAAACCAAGGAACTGCAATAACAAAATAAGAATTGCACAAGCTGCCTTCCTTCTGCAGTCTGCTCAGGCAGTTATTTACACTGTGCTATGTCAGGAACTCTGTCACACCCAGAGACACAAATACCTGAGATGCTCAGACTCCAGAGACCCACTCGACACTCGTGTGTTTTACAACTTCCCCGTGCTCTTTAACTGGGATTTCAAGATGGTATTTGCACTGTTATTTTCATTTTAGCAGCTACCTGAGGGAGCTTGTCCCTAATTCTGAAGCTGTCCAGCATCAGTGATTTCCTGCAGTCAAATTAGTTCAAAAGCTGAGTGTGGTACAGGACTGGGGACACGGAGATGACAGTGCCACAGGTTATAATGAGGTTATAATGCCAAAACCAGTTAGTCTGAACTCAGAGAATTTGATCAATAGGACAAAACCAAAATTCAGGGAGCTTGGAACTCGTTTGTAAACTGACACACTACAGACTTCTCAGCTAATGGAAATACCAAATCACTTACAGCCAGTTCTGTTGGTGTTTATAGTGCCTTCCCTCACAGAGCTAAGGCAGCTCTCCTACTGCATGGACTTCTTGTAAAGTAAATTTTCCTTCAAGTAGCAAATTTCTACATTTTAAGACCTAAGTTTGACATGAATTCCCACCACTAAAATCTTACCAGTGTTTTTACTAAGGAAATCTTCATATGGAAGTTTAATCTGTAGATAAACGAGCTGTAAATTAACAGATTCTACTGCACTTTCAATTTACAGGTAGCAAAATGAAGACCAAAAAAAAAATCAAATGACTAAGCATAAGGAAATAACTGAAAGTCAGTGGCACAGCTGGAAGCTGAAGTCAGATAAAGTAAAAGCAGGCACATTTTCACAGTAATTTATGAGAAAACTGGCATTACCAAATTAATAAAATTGCTCTGGGATTCTAAACTCAGGACCTCAGACTACTTGGCACTGACCTGGTAGATAAGTTTAAGAACAACCACAGTAGTAGCAACACTTACTTATAAAGCAGTAAAACATCACAAAAGATCACTCAAGTCATTTACCAAATGCCAGCAAGTTCAGTCTAAATACTTCAAGTTTAAGGATCTACTCAGGCCAAATATTTAACTCCTCAAACAATTTCAACTTAGGCCTTGAAGGAAGACAGAGACCAAAGCAACCTGATTTTACAAGGTCCTCACAGTGGCAGCAAATGAATTAAACATACCTGAAAATCCAGATTTCATGTTGCAGTAATAAAACCTTCCTGACTCTACTGACAACTGAGTGAAGTCATAAAGGGCTGTGACATTTTTATTACAGATGAAATGTAATAACTGCATCTGGATGCAGGAGATGGAGCTAGACCTGCCTGTGACCATGGGAATCAATAATCCATCACCCAGAATAACTGCATGCCAGTTATGCACATTTTCCCCCTTTCTGAGAGAAGAATAAATTAACTTTCCTTCCTGATCAGCATGCTGCAGGACTCTGAAAGGTATTTTAATAGCCCAGAAGTTTACCTACCTGATCTGACATTAATTACAAATCCACCAATGCCCTGGTTACTCTATCACTAGGTCAGACCACGAACTCCTGCTCAATATGCTTCAAAAATAGACAGGGCACAACACAGAGGAAAGGACATGCTGACTTACCCACTGTAGTGTGTTTTTACTTTGATGAAGTCTTTGTTCAAATCAATTTTTGAGCCCATTCTGCTAGGCATGGTCTGTATTTAGCAGTCTAAACGAAACTATAAATATGTAGAAATAAGTTCATTCAAGACAGATAACTAATTCTGAAGGGAAGAGCTTCACATGTGAAGTGTGAGTTTCTGCTCCAGATGACTCCCAATCCAGCTGCGTATGAAAAAAAACAAACAGAATCTTGATGAATATACACACACTCTGCTAAACAAATGAGTCGTGTCAAATTTTAGAAACACAAATAGCTTTACATGGAGCAGCAAGAAATCAAAAAGAAAAATGTATAAGTCCACTGACCTGCACAGAAATTAAACGAGATTGATTAAAAATATCCTGTGCAATTTAGTTTTACAGAAATATCCCAAGCGTTTGAGGATGCTTGCTTAAAAAAAACACTTCAAGAAAATCTTTACTTATTCATCAACACAGCGTCTGGCTCTTTTCTTCCACAGAACAGAGTAACTAGAAATAGTTTTTATATACATAGAACACTGAAGTCAATTGACGTCGGTCACAAATTTACCCAAGAGAAGCAGGAGGGGAACTCCACGGGGCAACTTTAACTCACCTTTACCATCGGAAGGCGACAAACATCCTGTTTATTCCAAAGTACCGCCTCACACACTTCTGTGTGTTCCCAGACACCTCCCTGACCCCGCTGTCCGGGCGAGCCTGGCCACAGGTACCGGGGAGGGGAGACCCGCAGAATTCCAGACCCTCCTGTCCCGGGGGGCTCAGGGGGACACGCGGCCCCTCAGCCCCGGCCTGCGACACCGGGAGGCGACACCGCCGCTCGGGACGAGACGGCGCCGGCACTTCCCCGGGCACAGCGGGCTGTGCCCGTGCCCGTCCCCGTCCTCTTACCCGCTCCGACCGCGGGGGTCCCGCCCCACGCACCGGGGTAAGCAGGGGCCGCTCCCTGCGCGGCGCTCGGCAACACCTTCCGCGGCCTCAAGTTGCTCAAAGTCCCGCGAGGAAGTTTCGCGGCGGACTTTGCCTCGCTGCCGGCGGGGTCCCGGCGGGGAGCAGCGGCGGCGGCGGAGCCCCCGGAGCCCCTCAGGTTCTTCCTCCGGTCTCCTCTCAGAGCCCCTCCGGCGCCCCCCGTCCCCCCCGGCCGCGGTCCCGCCTCAGCGCCCCGCGCCCGCCCCCGCCCGCGGCAACATGGCGGCCTGAGGGCGGGAGCGGCGGCCAATGGGGAGCCAATCCCCGCCCGCGTCCCGCCCCCCCCGCCGCCAATCGCGGCGCGGGAACCGTTACCTGGGGAGACCGGAGCGTCCCGGCCAACCAGAGCCCGCGGGGGGAACACCTGCGGCCAATGGGAGCGCGGCGCGGCAGGGAGGGGCCGTGAGGGGACCGGGCTGAGGGGACAGTGAGGGGACAGTGAGGGGGGAGAGGTGTGAGGGGACAGTGAGGGGGGACAGGGCTGAGGGGACAGAGAGGAGGGACAGGGCAGAGGGGACAGTGAGGGGAGACAGGGCTGAGGAGACAGTGAGGGGGGACAAGTGAGTGGACAGTGCTGAGGGGACAGTGAGGGGGGTCAAGTGTGAGGGAACAGTAAGGAGGGAGAGGTGTGAAGGGACAGAGCGAGGGGGACAGATGTGAGGAGACAGGTGACAGGTGAGTGGGACAGTGCTGAGGGGACAGATGAGAGGTGTGAGGGGACAGGTGACAGATCAGGGGGACAGTGCTGAG